TATATCTTAATGAATGACTTAATCAGCATTAAAATTTAATTTAATTATATTTTGAATATATCTTTATATGTATTTTCGTTTGTAGATAATAATGGAAAAAAGTTGATAAATATTTTTATAAACTTTATCTATTATTCAATGATCTCAATTAAAATTCAATCGGTGCAGTCGATGTTGAGACTTTACAACTTAATATTGCAGTTTTGCGCAAATAAAATCACGGGCGTCTGTCTCACATATTGATAACTGAACTGAGTGAATGATGTGAATTATGTGTTTTTTTTTCGACAATTATAAAAATTGTGTAAATTTGTCTTTATGCTATATAAGTAGAAAATTTATATTTGCTGATATTGTCTCTATTGTCTCTATCATAGAATATACATCGTGAATAGAACTAAATTTTATACATTTTTGGTAAGGACGGGAAGTCTGGACGATTTCTGGACTGTAATGCAATTTGTGTATGATTCACAAACTATGGATTTGGAGAAAATCAATGTGAAAGATCTGATGAATCCTTGGATACAAGAAAAGCAATATCCTATTCTTAGTGTAGCGGAAATCTTTGATTCCGAATGGACGAAAATTTTTCTACAAACTGCTTCCGAAAACTGGACGGTACCGTTAACACATCAAGTGTACATAAATTTGAAACGAATTTTACCCACATTTTGTCTATGGGAACAAAAGCACTTTCTTACAACGTGTTACAATTCTGAATACAGTCGGTTCATAATAATCAATCGGCAACAAACAGGTAAATGACAATCAAATATTTAAATGTAAAATATCATTAATTTATTTATTCTGAAAACTTGTTAACTATAAAAAAGAAAATATTACTAACTTATTTTTGTAACAAAGTTCTTAAATAGGATATATTTGACTTTAAGATTGTATAGCTAAAATAATTTAGAATTGTCTATGCTTCTTTTAGTGATTTTAATCCATCTACAATTATTTTTTTCTTAAACAAATTACATTAATTTAATAATCATATTTATATATTTGATGAAATACTTTGATATTATTTTCTTTTGATATGCAATATCTATAAACAAAAGTTTCATATTTATTGTTTATTATATATAATTTATTATATTGTTGTAAAGAAGTGGTCAACTTAATGATCCGTAACATAATATAATATAAAATTCAATATTACATTATTCAATATTACATTAGTATGTAAATATGAATTTTTTTATTATTTATAATACGAGCTAAATTATTAATTAATATTTTAATTTGTATTTTTGGTCATATTTAAAAATAAAAATAACATTTAGTAATATTCTATCTGTAATTAATATCAATTACATTATAATTTAATATAATTTAATATAATTTAATGACAAATCGTAATTAGTTATTTCGCATGACAGGATATTACCGGGTATATTATCATTTGGAAAGTTGGTTAAGAATTATAAATTATCTTAATTCCGAGAATTATACAAAAATTAATGTTTTAAATCGTGCTCAAATCATCGATGATACATTCCATTTAGCGATATCAGGCAAATTAAATTTTTATGTATTTTGGGATGTCGTAAGCTATCTAAAGTGGGAAACGGACTATATACCATGGTATCCTATGTTCAAAGCTGCTGAGTACATGTCACACATTCTACCTTATTATAATACTGAAAGTATAAACTTTAAGGTAAAAGCGATTTCAGTAAAGAAAATTCTGACAACTCATGTTGTTATATTCCAAATATCAATATTAATTTACTTTTAATAATTATCTAAATTCTTCCTCTAAAAAATATGATGTAACTAATTTGGAAAAATAAAATTTTTTACATTTCTACAAGAAATTCAGTTTAAAATTTTTTTAATTAATGTCGAATTAATGTTATCGTTATTTTATTTCACAATATTTAGATGAAACTACTAATGCAACTGGGTCCGCTTCTTCAAAAGATTGGATACGAGGAGAAATCTAATGATGACACGTTTATTAAATGTTTAAGACAAGAAGCTCTAAGATGGGCTTGTATTCTCGATGATAGCGAATGCAAAAAATATGCTGAATATAAGTTGCAATGGCATTTGTTAAATCCGATGTAATTATTTGTTCTTCTATTGTAATATTTTTACAATATTTAAAATACACGTCATACTTTAAATAAAAATATGTAAAAATACAAATTATAATTTTATGATAAAATGTTTCAGAAAAAATAAACTGTTACCATGGTGGAGGGAATGGACGTTCTGTAATGGTTTATGTGTATCTAGCATTTCTCTTGACAAATTATTTAAAGATTTGGATGAAGTTTCGAAAATTAAATATCCAGAAATGATGAAATCTCTAGCTTGCTGTAATCATACTTACAGTCTCCTGTCTCTCTTCGATAAGCTAAAGAAGTTAAGAAATGATTACATCTTTTGTTATACAAAAGATAATCCACGGATGATCTCTTTTATTAAAAACTATATTTATTGGTTTTATTACGTTATTCAGAGACATGTGAATGATGATTCAATTAATTACATTTTATTAAACAATTTGGAAGAAATCAAGCCCAAGTAATAATGTTTTCAAATTTTAAATGTTTAATGCAAATTTTTAATTTGCATACAATTAAAACTTTATTACATTTATTATTTTTTATATTATATTATATGCAATTTTTTTTCTAGAGAGATTAGTACAACTGCAGCAGTAATTAATATTATAAATTATATATATTCTGTTAAATTACTCTGTGAGGTAAGTTTTATTAAGCACAATAACTCTTTTCACATATTTTTATTAAATTACGATACTTTGATTATATTTTATATGTCATAATGTTACAAAAATTTTACTTTAATGTTGTTGACTAAGGAATTATATAAATAATATATATATATATATATATGTAATATAAAAGAAATTAATAATTTATTTTATATATT